CCCCCCCCCCCGCGGGGGGGGGGGGGTGGGGATTTGGGGGGGTTGAAGTCCACACATCTTAAAGTTGCCAAGGTGGAGAAACACTGCCTTATCCACTGAATCTCAACATTAAAATGTGCTGAGGTTTGGGGATGGATATAAAAATATCATCAGCCATCATTGGCTGTGATTTTCAATGGGTGCAAAATGGTACTATGTGGTTCTCTGCAGGATGGAGCCCCGGCCCTTTCATAAAACCCATGTAACTGGCCCCTGAATTCTGAGCCATAAATTAACCCAAACCAGCTGGGTCCCTGCCTACATATTTGCAACAGCAGGTGTGGAGAATCAGTATCTTCTTCCTCCAATTTCCTAGTAGATCTTCATTCACTCAGCCCAAAGATCTACAAAGCACCCTGTGACCTGGGCCTTAATGCAGCTATAGAGGTCCTGTGATCAGAATCCAGACAGGTCTCTGAGGTGGAGTTATCACGGGGGGGGGGGGCAAGAATAGCCCTGCCTGGCTAACTCAGGAGCTAGAAAACCATCTTTGGAGTCTTCCCAGCTAGAGCCCCTAAAACTGGGGCTGCTTGGCCATTCCACATCTTACTCCAAGGGAAAGGATGAAGACATCAGAAATCCGGGAGGACCAGGCACAGAGCTGGTCCAACCGCAGTGACTCCAAGCAAGGAAGACGCACTTTGAAGCATCCATTCCCCACCTTTGGGGTGGGAGCGAAATTATAGCTCTGCCCTGAATGGTATCTTCCCTGCCTTGTTATGAAAAGTTCCACAATTGTTGCTGCTTCTCCACAAATAATCTTGCCTTTGGGATGTACAAAACCGTGGCTCCATTCCTGGAACATTTCAGCAATCCCCATCCCATTCCATTTTTCCCCTTGGAATTTGCAACTCAAGGGTCTGTTTTCAGAAGCATATGTCCAGGACAGGATATGATTGGGATATTCTGGATGGGGCCTGCCACAGGAACTTGGGAAGACCGAAACATTCTGGAAACAGACCCTCCTGATTTGCACATGGCTTGCCACTGACCCCTTCACCTCACCCAACACGGTGACCATCGCTTTCGCAGTCCGTACGGGCCTGGTGAATATCGTGCAGGTATATTCTCCCTCATCAGCCAGAGTTGTGTTGTCAATACTGATGCTCAGCTCATTGGCCGTCGAATTTTCCAACTGGATTCGAAGGTCTCGCAATGCTACGTCAAGGAAGAAGAGCGACTTAGAGAAGTGGCAGAGAGGGCCATCCTAGGTCATCTTTGTTACTGTTTTCAACAGCTTGAAAAAGTTTAGATTTTTCTCCTAACTTGGCAGTATAGCACATGTCAAGATTCTACACCTCATCTGAAATATAAAAGCAAGAGAAGGCCCGAAGTGCAAAAAAAAAAACCCCTTCTCTTAATCACTAGAGAATTTCACGCCCGCCATTCCACAAAATGACTAAGAATGCTGGATTCGTGGCAGTGAAAATATGCGCTGGATGGAGTTGGGTGCTCCGGCTGGATGTGTGAAGTCTGTGTTGGTCTGTGCTCAAGGAACGCTTTGCGGCAAAGGAAGCAGGAAGAGATTGGAAACTGCTCAGAGCCACCTGTATTTGTGTGAATTCCAGACCAAAATATTACAAATCACGTATGACGCTTCTTTAGGAGACGGCCCCTGGCTGTTGCAAATGGCCTTTCTCCTAACATTCATCTTCAGGCCTTCCAACAAACAAACAACGGTTGGAACTAGCAAGCCGTTGCGGCAATGAATCGCTATGGCCTTCGTTGCTGCAGACACAAGAAAGCAAAGAGAGCCCACCTTAAAGCAAAAACAAACTTCTCCCCCCCCCCTCCAAATCAAAACAAAGAAAAACGAGCTACCAACAATGTTGTAAATACTATTAAAAAGAGTATGACATGACATGACATCCCTGGAATTTTACCGTATGAAAATCAAGATACTTTCCCCTTGGATTTATAGGGTTGGAGCACTAATCGATAAATCATATATCACATTCTACTTTGGGCAAATGTGATGCATAATAAAAGGAACAGGGCAGAGGCTTTTGATATACTGCATTATTATTAATATACCACTTTTCCTTCTAAACTTTTTTCCAAAGCAAGGTATGATGGTTTGAAAGGTAATCACATTACTATCTGCCTTTTACACATGTCCATATTAGATGCCTGTATGCGACCCAAAATAACTTGGTTTCAATTCAGAGGGAAAAAAAAAATCTCAGAGATTTTAAAAGTAGCTGATTTGGGTTCTTTTAAGCAGATTTGGTTTTAACAGAGGTTTCAAATACTGCATTTTCAGTTCGTTAGTCATCCCTGGGAGTGAGAAGGAGGAGGGTGTATGATTTGGTTTTAACACAGATTGCTGCTCTTGTAGTCTTATGGACATAGAGTGGGGTTATTATAGGTAGACAATTATAAAATAGCTGAAAGGTTTCAAGTACTGCGTTTTCAATTTGTTAGTCATCTCTGGTAGGGAGAAGGAGGAGGATGTTGAAAATATAGAATATAGATTAGAATAAACAAGTAGTTTGTATTGGGTTTGTGGCGTATTAATAGCTTAGAGATGGAGAAATCATCCGTATTCCCACTGAGAAAAAAAAAAATGCTATGCTGGTCACTTGGAGGCAATTTCGAATCACCACAGGTGAGCAGGGAAATAGGCATATTCAAGGTTTGTTTATAGATAGTCCCTTATCTCCATTTCCCAGGCAGGAGAAATCCCTATATGTGCCATGCCCCATTTTCCCTTATTTGACACGAAGAGTCAAGGCGGCCCTAGCTGAGATTTTCTGAAAGGCGTCTGGATTTTACTTTCCGCTCGATGACGTCAAGAGGGCCTGAAGGCAGATTTGGGCACTGAAAAGGGATAGGTGAAAATGCCAGGAAATATAAAGAAGAACAACAGAAGCTCAATTTGCAGAGCCTGGTTCCAAATTGAGCCAGAGGGATTTGGCTTGTAGCTAATTGTGTTTGTTATTGGCGGCTGTGACAATCTACCGCCTTTTTTGTAGTTGGGATTTTAGTACGGGGGACTGATAAATCATGGTAAATAAATTTGGTGTCTGTCACCAGCAGTAGCCACAGCTGTCAGCCTCCGCCTCCGGGCCACGATGAAATCAGAGGGCTACCTCGTTTTTCTCCAAAGTACAGCGTCTGCTGAGCAGGATTGGACCACTGGAGCGAGGAATCGTCTGGATCTTCCACCTTGCAGGAGAGGATCACCTTTGAACCTGCCACCACGACTTCGTCTGAGGTTGTAGGCTGGCTTCCTGCAAGAAATTGAAAGGGAGGTGAGCCGAGTCACAATGAATGGCTTTAGCGACGTCTGTGGGCCTGGCTGGGCTCAGCTCTCCTCCCGGATCTCTGGGAGAGGGGACACTTTCGCTCCCTGATCTACCAACTGAGTATTCGCCAGCTGCCGACTGGGCGAGTGCCAGTCTCTCTTCCTCTTTAACTGTCTTAAGGACTAGAACCTTAGGTCAACCGTTGAGGCTAGCCACACACCACTTTCTTCTGTTTCTGGCAGATATTCCCCCAGTGACTAAAGGAAAGCAAAGGAACTAAGACTCGGCTCTCTTGGCAGCCCCAACCAAACACGACAAGCATCCTTCCGCTGTTGACCCCTTACATTTCCGAGCCGCAGCATTTCATTCCTCCCCCTGCCCCCAGGCTGTGGGTGTCTTCACTCAGCACATTCTGCACCGCCTGGATAGCCCAGGAAAGGGAGGTCACGGCCTTCAGTTCCTCCTCCTCTGCTCTGCTCTGCTCTGCCCCAACAGCTGTCCATCCCCAACATCTCTTGGCGGTCTTCCCAAGCACGGCGCCTCTGCTGCCACCCCCCCCCCCAAACAACCAGCCCCTTGTCTCGGCCTGGCTGCCCCCAGGTTGCTATTCAGATTTAGCCCTTTACAATCAGCCCCACATGGAAGCTTCCAAAACACTTCACATGATGCGGCGAACGAGCCAAGGAATTCAGCCAAGTGGGCGCAAGGAGGCTTTGTCCCCGTCGCTCAATTTGGAAGGACATTTTCAGAAGCCTCGCTGGGCACGACAGAGCGGTCCTAAGGCAGGCGGACCGGGGCAAGAGCCTTCCAGCCATGCCCTTCTGCAGCAAGACCCGAGGGTCTCCCAATCTCTCCTGCGCCCCCCTAAACTGGCCTGCAGTCCTCAGCTGCGGTCAAAGGCGGCTTTGTCTATAGAATGGTCGTTGGTTATTCCAATATGGATATTTATTTTTATTGACTGATTCATCAAATTTGTCACCGCCCATCTCGCAAAACGACTCTGGGCGGTTTACAACAAGATAAACATTCATGAAAATACAACATATATTTTCTGTTTTTATTGTTTCGGATTTTAACGGTAAGCCGCCCAGAGTCACCCCCTAGGAGAGACGGGCGGCATTGTAAATTTAATAAATAAATAACAAGCCATCCCCGTTGCCAGATAAAAGCAAGATACCGTTGTCTACCAGCTCCGGCCTGTTCCTGGCTTGGAGCTCCGTGGGATATTTTGGTATTTTGCTCCACTGCCTGGGGCCAACCTTGCCAAATCGGGACTGGTCCTGCATCTGGCCCAGCCAGACGCCTTTCCAAAGCTTGCAGGTTCATTGCCCGGAGAGGAACACTTCAGAACAGATCCTTCAGTCCTTGGGGGTGAGAAACTAGGCCATGACAGATGCTCTGGATAAACTCCCCTCCCTCCCGTCTTCTCGTCACCCTTATGTCACTGTAAGCTCTTCCACCTTGGGCTGTCAAGAGTCACCCCCTTTTTTGGCTCTATAGTTGCCATGGAAAGAGGGCTGGGCTTTGCATTGTCTCCCGGCTCAAAATATGCTTCCAGGATCTGTCACTCCTCTGCTGTCAATCTTTCTGGCTCAAACTGAACAAGGACAAGGTGGAGCTATGGTGAGGCGGGGTGGCTCTCTCAAAAACTGGGTCAAGGAAAATCTGGATGGTGGCAGGACAGGAGGAGATCTGTTTTTCTTTTCCCCCCTTCCCCAGACAGCAAAAGAGCCAGCTCATGTTGGCATCCAGCCTTGCAACCTGTTTCTATTTTGTTTGGTAGCCAATATGAAAAAAATAAATAAACATGGAAAATGCCCAGGGGAAGAGACTTGCAGAAAGCTTTCAGGAAAGGCAAGGGCATTTTATGTTTCCTCCAGATAGGGAATTGGAAAGGGGACCTGCAGATGCTAAAGCGCTTGATTCCCTCTAAAAGCATCCGTCTGCCACTTTCCAAAGTTCTATGAAGACGAATGTAAGAGTTAAAAAAAACATTATGAGATAAAATGTGAAGAATCTCACATGAAATTGCTGAACCCTCGCATGATCGCCAGCCCAAAATGCTGAAATCTCCTCCGAGATTTCAAAGGATTTTTAGCATTCTCTTGCAAGCCTTCGGGGTTGGCAATTCGGCAAGACTTCTGGGGATTTGGGCACCTGGAATATGAACAAGCTGCCAACTTTGGTTCCAGCAGATTCCGTCGCCAGCATTTCAAACATGTTACATTTTGCTTTTCCCATTCAGGGCCTAAACTGAAGTCCCTTGTCCAGAAGGGTGAAGATTTGGGGGCCGAGGACAGATCTTGCCCACTTTCTCTAGCCCCCTAGGTTATCTCCCATGGGTCTACCCCATGGTGCTCAGGGGAATCCAGGCACGTCTTCAATCCTCATCTGCATAAGCCCCACCCCTTCATTTGCATATCCCAGTTCAAAGTTCTGTCTCTTCCGGATGCAATGGATCCTTGAAGGGACCATTGGACTGAGCATGCTCCAGAATCACAGAAACCTGATTTAGTATGGCAGTGTTTCCCAACCTTGGCAAGTTTAAGATGTGTGGACTTCAACTCCCAGAATTCCTCAGCCAGCCATTGGTTGGGAAACACTCCTATGGGGAGGGGGCAAGGTGGAGAGTTGTGGATCCTAGCTGGCACCCTGAACCCTGGCTGGCATGCTAATAACCTGGTGCCAACCACCCCACTTGTCATTCCTCAGAGCCACGGGTGGCTCTCTTGGCTGCAGATCCACACAATTTCCTTTTAACGCTCTCCGTATCCACAGCTAACGCAAGATAGACCCGTCCGCGTGCTCTGTCTGGAGTCCTTCACGGCCCCTCTGTCTGGCTTGCGTTAGTCAGCCCAGCAGGCCTGCCAATTAAAACTGCGTTCTCCCGGCAGGCACGCACGGCGGGCTGAGCACTGAGATGCTCTGTAATGAAGATCCTCTTTATTGAATGCGCTTCGTGGCTTCCTTCCCTGCCAGCTTGACAGCTTTCAATATTTCTCCTAATAAAGACAATAAAAGGGATGCTTCCCCCACCCCCACCCCTCCCAAGGAAGGAAGGAAGGAAGGAAGGAAGGAAGAAGGAAGGAAGGAAGGAAGGAGCAGCTTGTTTCTAAGATAATCTGGATTTTATTTTAAGAGGGCTGTTTGGAAAGTGCACAACCACACCAATTCCAAACACTTCATATTCATTACTCCCCATGTCTGGCATCCATTCCCTCCTTCTGACACAGAAAACAATTGCAATGGGGACGTTGCAGGTTTTGCAGGCCAGACCTGCGCAAGCATTTTGGGTGGAGAGAGGAAACCGCCCTCTGCCAGTCAGAGCCTTGGCCCTTCTTAGCCTCCGCTCTCTGGTCTGACTGTTGCTCTCTTCCGGTGGCCCAGGAATGGACCTTGGGGACAACAGTCAGGGCTCTCCACCAGGAGGGGGGGGAGGCCTAAACGACCCCCAGAATTAATGGCCGAATCCTCATCAACCAACAGGACCAGTGTACATTCCTCGACTGAGGCCGACAGGCTGTTCTGAAGCCCTGCTCTCCTCCTCCCTCTCTATTTTTCCAAAGTAACATTTTAGAGTTACTTTTCTTACTTTTACTGTAAAAATAAACCTGCCGAGCCTCTCTCTTTTTTAAATAAGTCATGTTTATTCTGAAATAACCCCATGTTTTCGGGAAGATGATTAAGCCCCTGTTGCAAACCTACCAAGTGCCCAGACTGCAGTCCATCACCTTGAACCAAGGTCCTTTCTGCATTATTAAAAGACTTCGACGAGACTTTCTGAGATTCTCCTTTTTGGTGTGCGAAGGAGAGCGTTCTATCTCTGCGTTTCCGATATTGGCTGGGTATTTATTGACTTCCAGCGTCTCTTTCCAAGGCCTTGGTCAAGAAAAAAACAAACTCATCCGCTGCCTGTTCCCATTTTTATCCGCCAACGCTGAGCATTGAATTCCCAAACCTTTGCTGGGGAAGAGAAAGCTTCAGCCACAAAGATCTGGAGGCCGCCTGAACTAGGAGTCTGCTTTTTTTTCAGGCGGATGGGTTTTTGAGAGCCTGCTGTGGGTTCGATCACAAAGTGGCCGCCATGGTGGGCAGGGTCGGTTACCACCTCAGACAGGGAGAGGAGGTTCGTTCCCTGGTATCCTCTGCACTACGAAGGCGTAGCGCCGAATGAGCGATTTGGAGCCGGGGTGGGCAGTGCACAGGGCATGCGCCTGTTGGTGCCTATTAAAGCAACAGCCCCTTTTCCTGGCCTTGACATGATCTCAGGATAACTCGCATCAGAATTAAGGAAGGACCGACATGCACCACAGGGACTTTGGGTGTGGGTGTTGAGTGTGGGCGGACCGACAGAACATCAACTCCAAAGCATATTTTCTCAACACAAGAATGGCTGTGTCATCAGGCCTGGGGGTTTTGGGGAACCAGAGACATTCTTAGATGGCTCCGCTGTAATTGAAGTTCTGCCCTCTCCGTGGGGTTTGTCTATTTGAAAACCTTTTTTTTTTAAAACACAAAATTGGGATCATGTTTTTATTTTAATAACTCTACCTCTTTAAATGCCTGTTTTTATTCACTTGTTATTTTAATTGTTGCATGCCGCCCAGAGTTGCTTTGTGAGAGATGGGCAGCTATATAAATGGGACACATAAATAAATAAAAATGTTTACTGATTCGGCGATATACAAATAAAATGAATGAATGCATGAATGAAGGCTTCTTCTGCTCAACCAAGTTTGATTGTCTCTACTCTAGCTTGAAAATCCACCACTTATGCCCCAGGGGTGGTGTCTCTGTAGTTGCTTCCCCACCACGCTCAAGGTTGGAAACTGCTGACTGTTTTCACCTCATTCACTTTCATCCTCATCATTAGACCCCAAATTGACCTAGAAATGGCAGCACCCCCAAACCAGCCAGGGAGCCATTCTGTGTTTCCCCAACAGGCTTAACTTGATAATTCGCCCACTCTCTGACTTTGCCCAATCTCCTGAATCATAAATCAATCTAATCAGCACAGGAACAACCACCACCTAATCTGGAGTAAAACTAACCCAGTTTAGCATAGTGGGTGAGTACAGTCACTAAGTCTTTAATTGCCATGGTTAAAAACATGCTGTGTGCACCCAGGCATCGTTTTGCTGACTTCCATTGTAGTCACCCCAGAAGTTAGAAAAACCTATTTTATCATGAAACAACAATCAAGCTGAAATGTACTGGTAGGTCTAGGACTGTTTCTCATAAATTAAAAATAGAGGCTAAGGTTTCTTATCTCAGGACATGCAATTAATCACCTCATCAATGCAAGGATGATTGTTTTGTGAATAGCTGCTATCAATAAGTAATTATCACTGTCTGCACCTCTTGCATTTCATTTCCCTCTGGCCTTTTTTTTTTTTTTTTAAATCTTCCTGACCTCTCCTCTGCCATCTATGGGGGCTTATATGCACCTATCTCAGGATAACATCCTGCATCTCACAGAGTGGAGCACACCCCATAATACATTTGCCATCAAGCAAAGTTCCACATGTTTCTTGTTAATGTTAACAGAAGGAATTCAGAAAGTACATGGGTTGAAAGTAAGGCTGGTTTTAGAGCATCAGTCCAACCTCCTAAAGCAGAAACCCGACAGCCTTTTCCAGAGAATGCTGCAGGTCTGGATTTCTTGCAATGGAGGATGGAGTGGGGTTGGAATGGATGACCTCCAAGAACCCGCCCCACTCACTGATTCTATCACCTTTGCCATGCTGAAGAGGAATGGGGGGGGGGGAGGCTTTTCCACCCTCCCATTCTCATTCAGTTTGATGAAAGAGAATCTGCTTTTGAAATTTTTTTCAAAGAAGAAGGTAATTTTGTTGGAAATTCTCCTGGGTGGAGAGTGGTGATTGTGCACTTATTTTGTTACAGAGCGGCAGTGTGTGTGTGTCTCTCTGTGCGTGTACACATCCTCTCTTTCATGTTGCAATTCTTTCTCTCCACAGGGAGAGAAACCTGGCTTTCTCTCTCTCTCTTTTAATAAACTCTCCGCATTTGTTCAGAAAACCAGGTTTCCATCTGGAGTGGAAGGAAAGATTTAATTTTAATGTGGTATTTGACTCAGTGGTGGGGCCTGCAAGCTGAGCAAGATAGGGTGGGAGGGAAAGAAACAAGGGTGGGGTGAGACAGTCATTGTCAACGCAACCCAGAAGGGGCAAATAAATGTCTTGAGGAAGAGACGTTGAGATGCTGGAAAAGGAACTCCTCAGTGGTTGATGGGTTAGATCAGTGTTTCTCAACCTCGGCAACTTTA